TAAAATGTATTATCAATAAACAACTAACATTGAATACAAATATTCCGCAAACTAAACAAATAAATAGTTAGACAATAGAAACCACAATAGATAGTTGTTTTCTGTTTCCTGACTTGTGTCATACTTTTCGTGATAATTTCGGAAACCGCACGTATCCGCAGCTGATTTTTTTAACAGTTTTTTTTTATAAATATCTACGCTACAAAACAACATCAAATGTATGTGTCGAGAGTTGTCAGTGACCGTCAAAAGCCCCGATGAAGTTAAAAAAATGAAAAACTTTTTCCCCTCACTTCTCGTTTTTTTTAATAGAAATACAATAATAATAAAACCTACAATATTATAATTGCTTTCAAATCTACATACAATGGGCTTTTTAGAAATGTATAACACTTTATAACTATTTTTGAAAGAAATTAATTTTAAAGTATTTAAGCGAACAAACCAGAAATAGACATTCTTAAGACTTACACTTTGCGATATTAAAAAAATATATTCCAAATGTAATTCATACCAAATCACTGCATTACATTAAAGTTTTTAATATGCCGTTGTTCTACCGTTTTCCATATTGCGGTGGCAAAAGCTAATACATAAAACCTTGGAAGCCTTGCTTTGGCACATATAGAGTTATAGACGGTTCTACCGGCGTGATGCCATGGCATCACAGAAATGCGGTGTTGATTAATTCCTTCCATGCTTTTCACCGAGTAAATAAAGTTATCGGCAGCCCAAGCATAATTAATGAAAGAAGCCAATCCAAAGATTTTTTTTTTTGTTCTCTCTTCTTCTCTTTTCTCTGACCCGTTAAAAACACACCGGGGTGGATGATACTTAATCTGTGCCATCCATCTTGTTAAACGAAGAGGGCCGCACTACCAGTGTCTATGAATAAATTTTTCCCAACTGCCCCGTTACCGGGCCCGAGACAACCAAGGTGAATTGCGGACCCAGATTTTTAACACGTCGGGTAGCGTCATTTTCTTAGGAATCCCAAATTTATTTTAATCACAACCCACTTTATTTTAAATTTGGTCTGCCTTTCTCACATTTGTCTATCTCTAAGCTGGTAATAAAATATTAACATAGCAGGCGGCCATCTTACCCTTTTCGCTTCTAAAACGAAAACCGGGACTCGAGGCAGGAAATAAACAGTTACATAAAGTATTGTTTTATTTTATCGATTAATGAAGCCTTTTGTATCGCACACAATAGAAAGATCACGCTGTATCAACATACTCACAGAACAGATCGAAATTATTCCTACATCTGTGTTTTACTAGAAAACGACCATTTATTAAAATAACAAGAGTTTTATTAATTTCTGTGCGATGCGATGTTCATTCAGTGCGATGATGCAACAAATATTTAGGCGAACATTCTAAGAAGCGGTTTTCTTTATTTTACAAGTGTGTATTTCGGAAAATTCCATGAGTAGTTTCAGACCGTACGGGGCTTTAGTCAGTCAGGTAATGATGGATTGGCTTCTTTCATTTGACTAAACAGATATTGTTGCTATTGTGCATGTTGATGCATGGCTTAAGAATCTACATAAAAGACGATTTCAAATAGGTTTGCATTTCCACCAACAGAGAGTTGTGTCTTGCCTTGCCTTAACGGACTCGTTCCAACCACTTTTTTACTTGACACCGGTTTTCTGTGAGTCCGTGGTATTACTGAGGAAAGGTACGCAAAAGGAGGCAAGATTGACACAAATCCCATACCAACCTGTCTGGCCATCGTGGTGTAGTAGGCCAAAACTTCTTTTCTAAGGAGAGGTCTATATAAAGGATTATATATGACATTGAAAGAAATAGGCAGTATGTTCCACTCTACGAGTATTAGCTTTTAGGCGCATACATTCAACCAGGCACAGGCGCCGTAATGAAACTTCTACTGTTAAGCCACAAACATTAAATACTTCTACCAGCGGGTAAGCTTCGCCGTCCCTCTGTATGTTCAACTACTGTTATGGTCAAACTATTTAGGTATGCACTCACGCCCCTTATCCATGAAGGGGTAGATAGAGAAGAACTTAAAACGCCCACATTTTGGCTGACAGACATTTAGTCCCATTTACGTACGAGTAATAGGAGGCAAGATTAAGAATACGAAGTGTCAAAACCCCTATTCATCCCATGGGTTTCGTAAGAGCCGACTAAGGGAGCAAACTACGCAGGACAACAGCACTGCAAGGAGAAGGAAAACTTGACACAAACCCTATACCAACCCATGTGGCCAGAGTGGTATAGTAGGCCAAAACCTCCTTGCTAAGGAGAGGCCTATGTCCAGCAGTGGACTATTTAAGGCTGTTGGCTGTTGATATGATGTGATGTGATCCATCTATACACATAAAATTACTTGTCCTGACCGACTGATTCCTAAACCGCTGAGGCTATAAACTTGAAATACACTCAGCGAATATTGTTTATATTGTAAGTACTAAGAAAGGATATTTGGAAATTTCACCCCAAAGGTGGTAAATTAAGGGATGCACGTTTGTACACAAAAACGCGAGGAGGTCGCGGAGAATTTCTCTTATTTCTAAATAGACATGCTGCATGATTTAAAGATTTGTAGTTAACTAAGACTATGAAATAATTAAAAAATGTAATGATATTTTAGTAAACTAAGAATAAGTAAACTCTAAACAGGTAAACAAGCCAACAAAAATTCGGCCTTTACTATTTTTTTTCTTAGATCGTGGCTACAACACACACGGCTAAAGCGGAAGCGACAATGCCACTTTGAGCAGCCGCGTCACATAACGAACAAAAAAAGCACCGAATGGTCAAACAGAGGAACTGTTTATTGTTCAAAAACTGATCGTCATATGAGCAGTACAAACAAAAAACAAAAACATCGTGACCAAAATGACTTAACTGTAATAACAACTTTCAATAATTGTTTATAACTGCTGCGGCGGTGTTTGGTGGTAACCGTGTGGTGACGGAATAAGAATACGGATAATCACCAACCCTGTTCATCCCGTGGTTATCGTAAGAGCTGACTAAACAATGGGAGGTAATTGTGTCGTACAAAACCTATACCAACCTGTCTGGTCAGTGTGGTATAGTAGGACTAGGCCAAGCCAGGACGTGGTGGAAAGAAAAACTTGACACAAACTATACCAACCCGTGGTATAGTATATATAGTATAGTAGGCCAAGACCTCCATTCTAAGGAGAGGCCCATGTCCAGACTGTGGGCTACTGGGGCTGTTGTGGGTTTAACTCCCATCCAGGTCTAATGATTGTGGGATCATGATCATTTCTGTGTATTTTATTTATTTATAACTTGGAGAATGGACAGCTTTGACAAATTATGTTAACATAGAGGACTGCATCAGTAAGCCAATTATATATCCTCTACCTATGTATAGTTCAGTACATAGTTTTTAATTTAAATTTTAAGCAGCTTAAAGGACACTTTTTTTTTTATATATATTATTATAATATCACAAACAATCGGGTTACCATAGAACAGTCTCTGGCAAGTTATGGATTGGAATGCATTGTGAGGGATATGACAAGTCAATATTCATTTTTCTTTTTTAAAAAGACAACTCCCGCACTAGGAATAAATCCTGTGTCGCAGGGGACTTTACAAACATACATGAAACCAACATGAAGGACAACCAGACTTAGAACAACAATTTGTGGATCACACCAAATGTTGTCCCAGGATCGGACCTACAACACTCAATGCAGTAACAAGCAAGGTTACCGTTTTAACCACTACTCCATCCTTACAGTCAAATATAATCTGGTAGTTCTAAGTTCTGACTCTAATTTTGAAATATTCATAATGTCCGTAGTGAAATAAAATTCCAGACAAATATGTTCTGTGTTTGGGGTTACTTTATTTATAATGTGTATGTATTTAGAAATATGTAAGTATATTTATCAGCAGTCTGGTTACCATAGCACAGGCTCCGCCTAGTTTGGTATCAGACGGCCGTGTGAGAGATGTGTGAAAGTATTATATTAATATTATATTTATTTTTTGAGATAATTTGTACATTCAGGTTTCAAGCTATATACTGCTATCACATAAAGATAGGCCATAAAACTGTAAAAGGAATGCTTATTAAGCATCAGTAGTAACTACGGATGCCAACAAAACTGGATGTGTGCTTGTTTGCCACCTTTTTATTGTGAAAAAAAAACACTAAACTCTTATATCAATTATTATTTTATCTATAAAAGTAGGGTTTGTTAGTTTAAAATCTTTATTTAATTCAATCTGTATTACTGGAATGTTTATAATTTTTGATAATATTGAGTCATATTTCTAAGTATACACATATTCATTTTATGTTTATTATCGCAACAGTGATTATCGATTACTAGTGATTAGTAATGTGAACTGCTGTATCGGAGGTTGAGGGTTCAATTCCCATCTACAACAAATAATGGTGTAATGTGATGGTTATTTTTTCTGCATCTCGGGGTTATTTATCTCTATGTATTTACTATTCTTATCGGGAATATTGTGTGAGAATAATATTGGCTCAATTGAGTTCTGGATTAGACTTAGAAAACGAATTTCTACATTTTTTTTTAAATGTGGGTATTTGTAAAAAAAAATAACAAACTGATCAATTTAAGGGATTTAAAGTTAGTTCTGAATAAACAAAGTTTCTTGAAAATAAGGTAAGTATGTCAGATTGTGTTTGAATTAAATCTGTAACACATAAAATCAATACACCAAACAGGATTGAGTGAACAAATTAATGTTAATAAGATGCCCTCGATATAATATGTAGGTAACATAAACAGAGTACGAAAAAATATGCGTAAGTCTGTGAAATAAATATGTGAGCTTGCAAAAAAAGGTCAACTTTCAGCAACTATAAGTGGAAAATTGGTTTATAATTAGTGCTTATCATACCATAACATCGCACACGATACTTTAATTAAATTAACAACATAATTACACCATCGTCACATAACGGCAAATAAAAATTCATCAAATATCATTATACGGTAAAATACTCACGTCCTCAAATATAGATCCAACGTTGGCAGTCACAAGCAGCAACGGCACTTTATCCGAACCCATCTTTTTGAACTTCAACATGTTACTGATGTGTTTTCAAGAGAAAACAATTCGCTAAACCCAGCGAGGTTATTAACAGTCGAGTTACACAGCTTTTTTGTTTTATTTGGCGCCAACACGCCGTAACCACGAGTACCGTTAATTACATTCTAATGTTTAATAACTACGCTTTCCCGTAGAAAACGTGTGGTTCCGTAAAATCTAATAAATTCACCCGAGACGCCCCAGCCCTTCTGACATTTGTATGAATGAATGTGACATTTTCTACACCCACATTTGTGCGTGTAAACAGCATATTACTCGAATTATTTACGTTGTCACTTCCTCCTAAAGGAAAATTAGAGATAATTTTTATCGTCAATATGGAATACTTAACCAATTAAATCCCAAGTAGGTACTTAATAATATTTACAAAACCTTTTTGTTATTCGTTTTTGTTATACAAATTACTTTCATTAAATTTTAGTCCTAACGCATAGATCGCTAGCGTGAAATGAAATGTAAAACTTGGCCAATAATTCCATCTTAACTTGTCCGGCTTTTACACCAATGACGTCTATTCGGAGTTTACGTCACGACCACTTCAGGGCCGTATTTGCGTAAATAAATATGGGAATGTGGTATTAAATCAAGAGGTCAATAAATACGTAAGCGATGACTAATGAAAATTATTTTTGTAAACAGTTAAACTTTTTATACTGCACTGCTTACTTCACTTTATAAGACTGATATACATAATGTTTGCTTTGTGACCCATGTCCTTTCACGGCATAATCATAAAAAAAAACTTTTTTTATGTGATATGTGTGTACGTAGCTGCTAAAGCCATTAATATATTTTATATCTTCTGGGATTTTAAATTTAAAACTAATTTTTTTTTTAACAATTAGTAAACTTACCACGCCACTTAACGTGACTTGAATTGCTTTTGGATGAACCTTATTTACCTCGTTATTCTTTTTATACCACTGATTTACCTTTTAACATTCGTTTCCTGAAAGACTTATTAAGTATCTACTTTCTGTCCCTATATTTCGGCATTTAAAACACTGACTTGATTATAATTATTATTAGGTAATACTAGTTACTTCCTATAACCATAGGTACCACATACAACCATATTAGTAATTTAGTGCCAGATGAATATATTTTCTTCATCTGGTAGTTTCAAGAAATATTTTATTCCCAGTTAAATTTATTTTGGTACATTAACTTTTTAAGTTGATTTTTTTTTGTGAAATATTTATGGAAATATTCACATTCTAAATTTGTCTTATATTGTGGAATTCCTCTCTGTGTATTTTCGGGGCGTTCCTTCGGGCCGCACATGCGAACTAAGTCCCGTCGGCGCTGAATGTTCACTGCTAAAATAGAAATCGATTATTTAGTTACTGTTCTCTTGAATAGTCGTGAAATAGGTCGCGTTTATTAATTAAACGGAGCTATGGCAAAGCCGCTGTAAATGGTAAGTAAACCATTATATTGTAATTATTATTGTACTTAATGTACTTTCTATTCTAATAAGAAGTCTGTGTAGAAGCTGTTACGAATTTTAACGAAGACAAAAGACATCCATTTAGTCTTATGTTTAAGTGTCAAATAAAATAAATGTCGCTATCATTAATATTTGATGTTAGCTAACGATTAAAACCGGCTTATGTTCGCTTACTCGTGCGAGGGATACCGATAACCCGGTATGTTTCAAGGTCCCTCCCTCCCTTCTAAATTATTCTAAGGAGGTATGTTTTAAAAAAAAAACATTAATAATATACAATTTAAAAAAAATAGGTATATTTAAAAAAATGGAAATTGTTCTAAATTATGGAGGACACGACGATATTTGTTTGAAAATATATTTGTTATAATTATCCTTTACTTATAAATATTTCCTTATAATTTTTCTTTTTAACTGAAAATTTGCCTTTAAAAACGAATATATCTCAACATTCTAAGTGGATTCTTGGGTTTTAAACAATTAAATATGTATAATCCTCAGCAGCCGCCATGTTGATTCTGCGCGCTCTTCTTCTGGCAGCAGTATCGACCGCTCACATACACAATGCGGTGGAAACAGAAATGTTCGCGATACCAATCAGTCCTAACTTGTTCAACTGGACGTATCAAGGTAAGTTCTTTGGCCTAAAGAAAAGAAAACCAGAGAGAGACCATTACAGTAGTACCTATCATATAATAAATTTAAGATGATGTGTGATATAGGTAGGATAACTGACTTCTAGTACCGCGCATGCTCATTGAGCGTGCGCGAATCTTCGCGAAATTTCTGCCACCAAATACTTGATGAGTGATATTATAAACGGCATATTTACCATATCTATTTTCAAGAATTAGTCTCCGATATTTCAGCCATAGATTATACACTAATACCTAACTATTTCGGTCATGATCACACATCTCATCGACGGCCTTTAATGGTCCACTGCTGGACAAAGAGCCTCCTTCCTTTGAACCTCCTGGTTGAACCAAATCGAAACCTCCATCCAACTATATAACCACAGATATAAAATCAACAGTAAAAAACACGACTAATAGAAAACCGAACTAAAAATTAGAAAATAATTACAGATAAAAAAATATGTTCGGTTTTGTTTTTAACTTGGTATTGATAACAGTTGTTTTTGGTCTACGCTTTTTGGATGTAACTTTTTTTTACATAATCAGAGGGCAAACTAGCAGACGGGTCACTTGATTGTAAGTGACCACCGGCGCCCATGAACACCTGCAGCTCAAGACATACAAGAGTGTTGTAACCCTTTGTGTTCCCCCCCTCTAGGATTATGGGAGGGAAGGGAAGGGGCTACAGTGTAAACTGTGATTTTGCTGTTTCCTCCCCTCCCCTCACTCAATTAAAAGAAACGAAAATGGCTGAACTCCGGTTTGTTACGACGCTGTGGTATTCGGTCGACCTGGCTCATATGTGCTGAAACATAACTCTTCCACGGTAAAAGCCTGCGGCTTCCCTAGCGGTCAAGTTATTTTGTATACCTCTGAATTTTGTAGTACTTTTTTTCTGTAAAACAGGTACTAGCTTTTTCTCTGCGATTAAAAAAAACACGCTCATCGATTCAAAAAGAGAAACAAACAAAGAACCTTATATTTTGATTTATAATATTAATTATAATATTAATACTTTTAGGCGACCTATTTATTTTAGTAACTTGTGATAAATATTGTTTTATTTTTGTGTACATAGGTTGCATTTCTATAGAATCAGGTGAAGGCGTAAATTGCACACAAGCATTTACAGGTGAAAGCATGTCGTATTATGAGTTGCGTTCCTATTTTTATCCATTTATTCTTTATCTGCCTACCCCTTTTAAGAATACAAGCGTGAGTGCTTTTACAAGTTGTGTTCTAGTGATGCGTCTGTCACTTTTTTGAATTTATGATTTAACTAGCTGCGCCCCGCGGTATTACCATTCCATCCCATCCAATCCCATGGGAACGCTACATTTTTTCTCGATAAAAAGTAGCCGGTGTTAATTAATGGTGTCTGTTAACTCCAAACCAAATGTTATCAAAATTGGTCCAGCCGTTTGTGCGATACAGACACTCACAAACGCCTTTATAATATTAGTGTGAAAGCATGTTTAACAAAATGCACAGATGGCTTTTAAGGTATTTGAAGTGGGGATATGATTGCACTGATTGTGAAATAATTTTGCAAATGATTTCTGCATAAAACGGAATACCTTAGAGTGGTTTATTTTGGAGGGTAAAGGCAAGAAGAACCGTCTCTGTGTATGAAAAGTGTCCGTAAACGCGTCCATAATGGTGGCGCTGCGGTAGCTTAAGATAAATTTATATTGGCTTAACTGCTTCGAAAATAGTCAATGAGTTTTACAGACTATAAATAAACGTGTAATACCTTTTAGACAATAAAATTATTATAATGTTTTAACTCAGCACACTTCACTCCGTCTACAACAGCTATGTTATAAGATAGTTTTTCATACGCCAGCGATCTCTTTTTTCAGTATACATCTGGACACTTTTTCAACTTTCCCTATACATATATGAAATGGTTCTTCTTGCCTCTACCTTCCATAATGTACTGTCAACTACTGTCAGAGAATCAAAACGCATATATGTGTATGTACAGATATAAATACCGTGTTTTACTTTTACCTACGAATGTTTTGACGTGATAAGTTTTTGAAGTGAAAACTTCTTTAGGCTTGTTGGGCACTTTTGAACGACTAACAAAAGAATGTATTTTTTGAGATGGAAATAACCATTGAACTCGCGACATTGTTACCGTTGCCGACACCTCTGTATATAGGTATCTACATATATTGATCCCGTTTACACGACAGTTGAGTTTGGGTTGAAATACATTGATAATATAACTTTATATAAACATATATTGTGTATATACGTACAATATAGATACATATTCTGAACTTTTCGAAGTGAAAAAACAAATAAATAAATCCTGTTATAAACAAAAAAAAACAGAAAGGGCAAACGAGAAGACGCGTTACCTGATGGTTAAGTGACTACCGCTGCCCATGAACACATACAACTCAAGAGTCACTAGTACATTGCCATCCTTTCAGTCCCTCCCCCTAGAGTAATGGGAGGGGTTTTTGGCTGCGGTAATTAAATTGCTAAGTAAATAATGCGGCCATAAGCTTTTTATTTCTTTTTTTAATAGACAACTCCCGCATTAGGAATATATCCTGTGTCGCCGGGGGACTTTACAAACATACATGACACGGATACAAAGAACACCCAGACTCAGAACAAAAATTTCTGGATAACACAAAGTGTTGTCCCATGTGGGGATCGAACCCACTTGAGTATTTTAATAGTACAATAATGATACTTCCTATTCAAATATTAGTCATTCTTACAACAAGTTGGTACACGTAATACAACTAATATACTCGTAGTATCTTGAAAGTTTCAAATAAGAACTTGTGTTAATTAATGGGCGTTGATTTTTAGTCCTCGTTGAACCCCAAAATCAGTTTTCACTTATGGAATTTTGACCCCCAAGGGGTCCATATAGACCACTTTGGGAATCCCTGGATTATAGGATTGTATTGAGTAAAATATATTAAATACTGAAGCTTTTACGAAGACCTGATAATAAGGTTATGAACTACTCAGGAGTGTCTCCTTTTTTGACTGGCCTGTAGGTCTATTAAGTGGTTAACAATCCTGAAAGTTAACTGCTGGTCATGGGTTCGAATTCCATTCTGGATAAATAATTGTGTGACGGACATGATCCTTTGTTCTGTGTCTGGGTGTAATTTACCTATAAAATGGATGGATTTAGGAATATGTTACACAAGCAGGGTGGATGTCACCGGCTCCATATGTGTGTGTGTGTTTTTTTTTTCAACTTCCTAGGGCACAGGAATTGTTCGAACTGCAGAGTTAAACTTTTTTGGAAAACTTAAATGAATGAAATAGGAATTAAAGATCCTGGCTTTCCGTAATCTTTGGCAGATAAAGAAAGTTTATTTTTATTGGGTTGTCTCCAGAATTCGATCAACAATATCGCTTCCATGCCTCACTCCTCGGCAAGCCAGAACTACCATCTTGGTTGCGATATATATACAGTGGAAGACACCACTCCGGATTCATCTTTGGCACTCCGCCTAGAGGTAGTGCTGGACCCATCACGGTAAGTATTGTTTGTAGCCTTAACAACGAAGTTCTTTTGTCAACTATTATTTTCTTGTCAATCGTTTTCACATTAAATATAAATGCATCATTTCATCATCATATCAATATAAATTCAGCATCTTTTTATTTCACAATAAAAAGATGCTGAATTGACTAGACAGTCCCTTTGACCCTTTTTAGCGTTCTTTCGATGATTCTTATTTCTAGAGGATAAATGGTTTTATTCAGATGTGTCCTTGATAAAGCTTGCCCTTCGTTGAAGAAACTAGTCGTAAATACCTGAAATATACACGTGAAAAAACAATTCATAAAGACCTTTGTATAAAGACAGTGCTCTTATATTGAATAGATCGCCAATGAAGTCAACAGCAAAAAAACATTGAGCCGTCACGGAACTTCTGACTGACGTAAAACATCGAAATTATTTTGTAGAAATAATTAGTGTAAAATCACTGATAATCAGCGTCAGTGAGTCGCAGAGTCACTTGCGTATGGCCAGTATGACACACATAGACACATCAAATGTTACATATACTATCAAATTGCGTGGCGACGCGTCGCATCTCCCACAGCTGGTCTGATCCTCCATGAAGTGTTTCACATCAATAAACTTTAAAAACATACTTAATGGTATCTATAACAGCGGTTTTATGAAGAATAAACGAATATTGTCGAAAACCAGTCGCTTCAGCGCGAGTAAGAATATCGGATGTGTTCCCCTAATTTGTTTGAAAGTTATTCTTTTTTTCTCATCAACAAAGATACTCGTAAATGCCACTTATAACTGACTTCACTTTGGTATAGTGATTCGAAATTTAAAAATCTCTTCTTTTTAATCGCCGGTATTGCCAGCTTGTTATTAAAAAAAATGGTTGTCTTTTAGTTGGAAGTCATAGGTCTGAACCGACAAGACTTCGAGACGCGACGGGTTCTCCTTAGACTGGACGTTCGAACTAAGGAGAAGATGGCCCGACACGAGGTGGAACTCAAAATTGACAACTTAAACGTCGAAGATCTGCTTGATGAACACAAGTAAGTAAACACATCTATTAGGAATGAAATATAGGCGCAGGAGGAATTAGCTGTAAAGTAAATTGACGTGTAACATCTTTTCTCTGACTTAAAAAGGTACGGAAATGTGTAACAGGGTTTGGGAAGCGCGTGCTATTTGATTTGACCGATGAGCACGCAAAATAAGAACTGGACAACGAGTTACTAGAAACAACTATTTATGAAATTATAGTTATTTACCTATTGAGCACCTACAATAATACAGGATAGGTTGACTGTATCATAAATATATAACAATGTATGCTTAATTAAAACAAATATCACAAAACATGTAGGCAAATTTAATTATTATTTTTACCTATTACGAACTTAAATTAAATAAACATTGAAATATATACGTCAATTGAGTAGTCGAAACTAGTGACGTCATAAGTTGCTATTTAGTAAATTTTTCAAACATAATTGTCGTTTTGGCACAGCGTAACAGTAATTTGATGACTTAAGACTAGGGGACTCGAATGTTGCTTGAACCGAAGCGAGGTCTAAAAAAATTACGATTATAATATTCACTAATTGTTGGAAACTTGCAATCAACTGGATATTCGGCTATCCGATATGACGCTGTCGCGACATGAAGCGTACACCCAGCATAGCGAAAAGGGTGTTAGAGTTGGTAGGTACGTGAGATGTCAGATATACCTACGTCATATACGACTACCATAGATTTTTTTAATCTATTTAAATAACACAGATAAAACATATTTTTAATATTTTTTTTATAGAATGACCCGTTTGAAAGACATCTTACGGACCAAATTGTGGATTGAGAGCAACGAAGACCTGTATGCCACGTTCCTGGCCTCAGCCATCGATCTCGGAGCACGGCTACCCCTCAAGCCCAGTGATGGCGAAGGGTAGGTTCATATTTATATTATGTTTTATATTTATATTTATATTATGTTCATATTTATATAGGTATTAGGACTTTAGATATTTGATTCAAACCCCATTGAATCGACCGAACCCACTCCTTTTTTGTGAGTATGGAAGCCTCTCGGGCCAGGTTGCCACCGTGGTTAACGTTTGGGTGTGGTTTTGAAATCGAATCGACTACAACCATACTGTGTGCCATTCTACGCCTAACAAAGAATGTATCCGGGAACAGCTTTTTAAAAAAACATCCTTACTCTTCTTACTCTTACATCTATGTCTTCCTCTGTGCGCCATATATTATATATTAGTTTAATAGTAGTTTAAATGAAGTGTCAGCACATTGGCCGTCAGTGACGGATTAAGAATACGGAGTCTCATCCCCCCTATTCATCCCATGGGTGTCGTAACGCCGACTAAGGAAGCAAACTACGCACAACAACAACACTGCAAAAAGAAGAAAAACTTGACTCAAACCCTATATCAACTCTTCTGACCAGCGTGGTATAGTAGGCCAAAAAATCCTTTCTAAAGAGAGGCCTATGTTCAGCAGTGGACAATTAACGGCTGTTGAAGATGTCAGTACATTTGTTCCAGGCTGGTCGTTCGTCTTGGTAGTTCGATGCCTTTCTCAGCAGAACTAAAACGTTTGCGAGAAGAGGTCAGACCTCTCTCTCGTTTGCCTAGCTGTCCTCGTGAGTACAAACGCACTACTGTGGAGAGGCTCTTCAGGGACGCTGGTTTGACTCTCGACTGGTGCAGCTTTGAGTTGGTAAGTGTCATTTAAAGTAGGCCAATATTCTTCGTCGCCAGTTCATTTTGATCTATTGTGATTTTTCGAAGTACAAACAAGACCATAAAATTATTTTAACATTTTTTATACTGGCCGTATGTTTTTTTGTCTAATTATTAATTTAATAAAACTTATCATTGCGAATATTTTCGGTTTGCATTAATAAACAATCATTATTTGCATTAATCTATATATATATAAGAGATTTCCACGTATATAGTCACTCATCACGATATCTCTGGAACCATTAGAGCTAGAGACTTGAAATTTGGTAGGAATATTCTTTTCACCGAGTAGAGGTCAGCTAAGAACGGATTTTAAGAAATTAAAAAAAAAAAAAAAACAAAAAAAAAAAAATAATGTAAATAGCAAAACAACGTTTGCAGCGTCAGCTAGTTATTTAATAAACCTTCAAGAATATTGCTTTTAAGTTACAAGCTTCTCTAGTTTAGGTTGGCAATTAAATTTACAAATACCTTTTACAAATGTACTGGATTTATCGTAGCTTATAGAGACATTATCACTGACTCATAACTGAATCAATTTAATATTACTAAAGATCGCAATTTGTGTGACAAATGGCTAATATAATTTGAGCTGTCATTAGACGCATGTAAAGGCAAATGGTTTATGTTAGCGTTTTCATATAATTTTACATGTGTAACATTGTTACAAGAAATGTTCCAAGTTTCACATACATACATTGTCATGCTTTTATCTCCGAAAGGTAAAGCAGAAGTGAAATTAACACCTTCATTTCGTCAACGATAATTTCAGTCACACTTAAAAAATAGGGTCTGTTGCCGTCAACTGAGAACTTCAGTCGCTGTTGATATCCGTTTGGTGACGGATTAAGAATACAGAGTGTCACCACCCCTATTCATCCCGTGGGTTTGGTAAGAGCCGACTAAGGAAAAAAACTACGCAGAACGACAGCACTGCAGAGAGAAGGAAAACTTGACACAAACCCTATACCAACCCGTTTGGCCAGCGTGGTATAGTAGGCCAAAACCTCCTTTCTAAGGAGAGGCTTATGTCCAGCAGCTATGTAAAATTAAGTTTCATCAAATCTATTTCAGTACAACACAGTTTACAAAGAACGAACAACCCTCCATCTAGAATACCTCACCGAATTACCCAACACCAGCAAGAACGCGAAGTCTTTCAAAGCCTTAGACACACGTGACGCTTGGTCAGCCCCGAGCAGACAGGCATTACCTTCACGTAGCTATGGGAAAGTGTTGACAGCGGCTGTCTTAGTCCCTGTGACATTGATGTTTCTGTCTGTCACTGCGCTGACAGCTGTCATTTGTGCGTTGCAGGCTGTGTAAGTATAATGTTGTACATAATTTCTGTTTTAGGTCTTCGCTTATTTATTTTTTTATTAAACTGAAAAAAGTTTGAGATGTATTGTTAGCAGTGAGGGTAGATGACAATTGGATTTAAAGGAATTGACTTTAAACTTAAATTCTAAGCCTATTTTAAATCAAATTTATATGCCTTCAAATATAATATTTAGTCACCCTAAGCCATTTACATCAATAGTAAGATGGGTGAGTTACTTATGTTAAACAGGTTGAATACCCAGCTGGACCTGACTTGTCAATATCAAAATTGAGTCAGAATTAGTCACAGAATCTCAACATCAAATAATGTACCCTTAAAAACAGATATGGTGAAACTAAAATAAATCCCCGTAATACAAGTTACAATTGATTACACTTTGACCAAGGACGGCGAATATTCGACAAATAAATGAAGCGGAAACATGTTCTGTGCGTTCCGTTCATGAGAACTTTATGAAAAAAATGTAATTATTTTTTAAATCAAAACCATTGTTTTTAGCATTGAGAGCTCAGCTGAACATGATCTAGCGAAGTGTTTTAATTTTTGAAATTTTTTTAATTATTTCACCAAGTTCTAACTAAATTAAACAAATAATCTTGCTGTAGAATTTGTAATTTTCTGTTCATGTTTTCCCTTCTCGATCTTTGTTAATGCGTATTTAAATCATATTTTATGCCTTATTGCAAATTTAAAAAGAGTTCAAATTGAATTGATTTTCGTTCCAGAAGAGATCCTGAATCTGAAAACTTTTTGAACAATATATTTCACATTTGTATAGACTATAGAAACAGGAGGTTCGATATTTTTTTACTTTGAGATGTGTATTAACATTTTATTGTTACGGCAAAACATACTTTACGATAACATTACTTGAAACTTTCTTGAATGTCAAAAGTACTAAAATAACATTAAACGCTAACAAATTTTGTATTTTTTGTGTTTAGATATTTTGTTTGTATTACTTATAATTATATTAACTGCCTGCGTGTAGCTGAAATGCGAATCTTAACATTCATGAATGTAAGGTGTGACCAGAATTGACATGGTATGAATATATTAAAAGAAGCCTGAAAGTTGCACTAGTGGACGAACAGTTGAGGAACAACAGATTATAATGGATATGTGATCGATCGGGAGATGAGATGACCAAAGACAAGATGGATGGACTGCGTAAAAGATAATATGCCAAGAAATTAATTTGGCAATAAATTTGAAATAACTGGCGGATGATAGAGGAGTATGAAAGTAGAAAACTCATTGTACTTATACCAAATAAATTTGTGACAATGGCAATAAAAAAATATAAAAATACTTACCATAGCGAAATCTACCAAAAATGTATTGAGCGCCAATAAGTAAATATCTTAAATCGCGTGTAATGAACCGAATTGGTAATAAATTTCAGGGCTCACAAGTCAAAAGTAGAAATGTGTCGTTACGGCACTGGCAACACCGAACAGACTCAGGTTGCTGACAACGCTAGCAACAAGAGTATTGGTGTCAGGTCAGTATCATAATAAATCTTATATATAAAATTCTCGTGTCACAATGTTCGTTCCCGTACTCCTCCGAAACGGCTTGACCGATTCTCATGAAATTTTGTGTGCACATCGGGTAGGTCTGAGAATCGGCCAACATCTTTTTTTCATACCACTAAATGGTAAGGGTGACCCATCCCTAATTTTTTTTTGATTTGCAATACAACGTTTGCCGGGTCAGCTAGTTATAATATATAATTTCAGACAGCTAACACATGGTCGTATCAGACGGTCCCAAAATAGGCACAGCCTGTCCTAAGGCAATAAAACAAAATAAATATCTATAAAATCCTAACTAAGATAATCCCTTAGGCCCGGGGTTCTCTGACGGTTCGCCGTTCGTATTAGCGACGTTTCTAACAACCCAGCGCTAAGCATATCCGTACTTAACATTCGGTCGTCTGTCGCGTGTCAGAGAACCCCGCTTCCGAGGCTTCAGCTACTCAGCCGATTGTCATGAAACAGCATATACTTTGTCAAGAGCACAGAAACATACAAAGGGTATCTTTCATTACGAAAAAACTACGAGTTCTGTTCCTTACTGTTTCTACATTATTACTTAAATGTACAGATAAAAAACAAATAAAAAAACATAAATATTCGATTTATTGTTTTGCCAATTCACAATATGCCAGTCTGATAGACGATGACTGAACTTCTTAGTTCCATATTCAGAAGAGACCGCCAACTAGATACTGTTTATGAACAGCATTGACATTTAAAATTTCCATTCCATCTACTAATTCCAAAGTTTTCCTTTTCAGTCCTAACAATAGCCTCGTAAGGCCATACAGTCCAAAGTCAACAACCAACTTGGCGAGCAACTACAACAGGCCGCAACCCCCTCCATATATGGGTTCAGCGACCAACTCTCTCCATCATCGAAAATCTGCCGATAGAACACCATCTAGTAGTGGAGATACTCCTGAACATCGCACACATCTATTAGAAGAATCGTTAAAACTTCTTAATGAAGCCAAACTCTCAAGTGAATTTGACAATATTCCTTTAAAAGATCCAATCATTGATCTCAATGATGGAACTGAAGATTATGTACCTATAAAATCAGATCCGAGCGCATATATCTCGAAGAAACCAGATCAAACTGGTTACTTAACAATGAAGCCAGATTTGGATGATATTAGCGTTCCAGATTTGGCAAAGTTCAGGATTACAGGGCCTATTTGACAGGAGGTATTACAGGGCGAACCACCTGTCAAAACTTGGTTCTGTTGAATTGTGTTAGAGTTGTGTTAGAATTGTGTTATAAGGAATAATTATTTGCCCTACATCCCCGAAGTAACATAAGTTAATATCTAGTCTTTAATCTAGTCGTTTAACACTATTAAATTATATTTTTATATGTTTATAAATAAACTAGAATTATTAACATTATTTCAAAATAGTGCGGGTCCTAAAGTAGACCCTTACGGCACACCTTTAGTAATAAGCAAATTCAAAAGTAACTAACACTTAAAGTATCAGATTTTAACTGTTATGCATGAGATCTAGGGTAAAAGTAGAATTAAGACACAATCATTGATGTAATAACTAATATAACACTCTTATTTTAATGGAATAGTATTTTGTTAACATAGTCGAAAGCTTATTGAAGTTTAGTAGACATCAGATGTATGTATAGACTAGATACAGTGTTGTAATAACCTTAAACTAGTATTTAGTACTTTTAACTTCAAAAACATATTTATACCTATGTAATATTATTCATTAATATGAGATCAATGATTACAATGAAAATATATATAAGATGTATATATTGGAATATAATTTGTTGTATATTCGATCCTATTGATAATGGCGAACTTGTCTAGATAGCTTATCTAGATATGGAATTTAACCGAAAAGGTCAATGACTACCTCTGCGGGTTTTCCATAGAGGAGATCCACGTTAATCGTGATTGAGTAGAATTCGAACCAGTAATTAGTCGATTGCAAGTGCGCATTTTTGTCCTAACGTTAGCAACGTATAGGGTATATATTATAATCATTATGTCCTATAAATTACATATTTATAATGCATAAACATATATAATTACTAAAAAGTTTAAAACTTAATGCAGTATAGGTAATTGGAAATAATATTAATGAAAGTTTGTAAATACCGATTGTTGCTTAAGAAAATCAGTCTTAAAACGCACACTAAATTTATTAGTAAGCTAGTTTAAATATATATATTTATCTGGTTGGGATATAACCTAATAATCCGCGTAATTATATTTAAAGTATTTTTAATAAATAAGGAATATTATTGCGTAAAATAAAAATCGTTTAATTTAGATTAACGTGTATCATTCCATGGGGGGTTGGTCGGATGTGTCACACCAACCCTCCTTGAGAATTTGATCGTATAATTCAAGGGAGCTTAGGTTAAAAAACGGGTCTAAGACTACAGTCTGCCCATCTTGTATTAGAATGTCACTTTGCGAGTTTATCTTAACGCTACCAAACATGTCTTGTTAAAATTTGTTTTGGTAGCTTCAATGGTAGGGAATAAAGAACGTTAAAAGTAGAATTTAAGTAAAATAAAATGTAAAAAATATTTTTAATAATTAATTAACAAGTTTTAGTACTAAAATAAGATTAACTGCCGTATCTTAGATTAAATTCTGTTAGCCTTGATTAAGTAAAATTACTCAAATTGAGATACATATTTATTAAAAAAGGGAAGTAGAAGAAGTATTTAATACATTGATTAGTCAGTATAGTTTAAAAAAAAAATGACGGTCATTGTACATCATGGAAACTTCAATAGGCTGTACTGTAAATCCTATGTACGCGTATGGTGTGTCTAATCCGCTGCCTGGTATCCGTGGAGTAACAGGTATACCTAACAGAGGATACCAGATAACCTGACTGACTGCATTTGAACATATTGGCCGATACGACGGCTTCACAGTGAGGTTACCAAAGCCCTAACACCAACCCCTCCCCCCCCTCTATTCATAAGGAGGGGAGGGTGTCACTCAAACACCGGCGACTCATTTTCTGCTCTTGAGTTGCAGGTGTGTGTGTATGGGCGGCGATGGCCACTTACCATCAGATAAGCCGTCTGCTATTCATACATATATATATACTTATAATTAAATGGTATGATTAAGATGTTATTTAAAGCAAGATCAATTTGCTAATGGGTTTGAATACGAGAATATGTAGTCTTAGCAGCTTGTAATAGCAACTACAGCTGCTGATAGATAATTAATTCATTTACTAAATTAGTATTAGGTATAAATTAGTTTCACTAAATTCACTCAATAAGAGGCATATATTATAGAGGTATCTTTATTTTTTCGCGTAGAATAATAAAACGTTTGCCGCCTTAGATACGCTATAAAAAAAACTTAGTTTGTAATGGTGGCTCGTCATATTCTGTATGCGGCACCTCTGGTTGAAATAATTAGTTACCAACTTTTTTAAGAGTTTAGATGTGTATATAAAATTAGTGTTAATGTACATTAAATAAATATAAAAATGTAATCTATGTTAAATTAATTAAAATATAAATGCCTGATGACTTCGGTTTCTGGTATTTTATCGCAGTCTTCACATTCGTTTTGACAATCAAGTGTCAGAATTGTTGGTTCAATACTGAAAATGAAAATGGCGGAATTTTGGCGCCATTCTCAATTCAAAGGTATACAGTTTTTTTTCTATCAAATGCACCGAGTTTAAATAGGTGTTTTTTAAAAGATGATTACAAAAATACAGTATGCGACTCATTATTATTATTTAGTATTTTCAAAACATTACATTTCCGGTTTTATTTAATAATTTCTTGGTATTAATAATATATTCTCGTCAGTCAAGTACTACATGTAACCGAACCGTGGACAGTGTAATAATAATAAGGTCTAACCTTAATTTGTATGTATTGGCGCCATTTTTTAAATGCGTCACTTCTGGTGAAACTAATTTATTAATGTTAGGACATTTAGGTTTAAATTTAAACGATAATAGTCCTCTTGTCATAGTACTTCTGTATATGAGACTCATTACTTCTATATTTGAAGTTCAGATATAGGTTTGTCGAAATGACAAGCGTTTAAAGGCGCCTTAAGTTGAATTAAAGCACAAATGTTTAACATCTTGACACTTGTAGCAAAATATTATATGATTTATTAAGATCTAACCTTAGTTTGTAAGGGTTGCTCGTCATATTCTGTATGAGGCACTTCTGGTTGGAATAATTTATTACTTTTAGGATGTCTATGTAACACATTATAATAAAATTGTATATAGGCATATAAAATTGGAGGGCACTTGCAGCATAATATTCGTAAACGTGGGAGAGCCATGCTTCAGCATAAATGGGCCGGCTCGACCGGAGTGATACCACGGCCTCACAGAAAAACCGGTGTTAAGCATTTCGTTGATTTTCACCGAGTGAGTGAGGTTACCGGAGCCCAACCCTCCTCCCCCCTGATTCTAGGAGGAGGGACTCAAAGGGTGGCCAGCGCACATGTAACTCATTGAGTTGCAGGCGTCCATGGGCAGCGGTTCTCACTCCTACTTGGTGATCCGTCTGCTCATTTGCCCCATAGATATGCTATAAGAGAAATAGCTTCTAAGATTAGTTTATAACGGTTGCTCGTCATATTCTGTATGCGGCACCTCTTGTCAAAAAAAGAGACTAACTTTTAGGATGTATAAATTATAATTGTTTAGATGTGTATATTAAACGAGGTAGTCTTATTATATTAGTCTTAATGTACATTAAATAAATACAAAAATGTCATCTATGTTAAATTAATTAAAATATAAACGACCTTGATCATTTCGGTTTCTGGAATTTTATCGCAGTCTTCTGATTCGTTTTGACAATCAAGTGTCAGAATTTTTGGCTCAATACTGAAAATGAACATGGCGGACTTTTGGCGCCATTCTCAATTCAATGGTATACAGTTTTTTTTCTATCAAATGCATCGAGGTTAAATATGTTTTGTAAAGGTGATTACAAAAATACAGTATGCGACTTATTATTATCAGTTAGTATTTTCAAAACATTAGATTTCTGGTTTTATTTAATAATTTCTTGGTATTAAAAATAAATTCTCGTCAGTCAAGTACTACATGTAACCGAACCGTGGACAGTGTAATAATAATAAGGTATAACCTTAATTTGTATGTATTGGCGCCATTTTTGAATGCGTCACTTCTGGATGAATATAATTTAATAACGTTAGGTTTAAATTTAAAGGGAAATAGTCCTATTGTATTAGTGCTTATGTATATATGACTTATTAGTGCACTTAACTTATATATTATTTGAAGTTTAGAGATAGGTTTGTTAGAATGAGCGTTTAAAGGCGCCTTTAGTAGATCTAAGCTTAGTTTGTAACGGTGGCTCGTCATATTCGGTATGCGACACCTCTTGTCAAAAATAGGTACCAAATTTTAGGATGTATAAATCATAATTGCTTAGATGTGTATTTTAAACGAGGTAGTCTTATTATCTTAGTGTTAATGTACATTAAATAAATGCAAAAATGTCATCTATGTTAAAACATGTATAATATTTTTAAACTACCAAAGATAACACAGGTAATTAGTAGTTAAAAAAAGATTAATGTAGAATTATAGCTAATATATATATATTATTAATAGGAGTGGAGATGAGTGGCGCATATTGGGTTTGTACGTGGCTAATGATGGCCTGCTGATGAAACCAAATTAATATGGAATTTTCTTTTATTTTGCCTTGCTATTCAAATATTTCTTAGTTTCATTTAACTATATTTCTTAATAAACTTTTGTTAGCTTAAATTTGTGACCGTGTAAAAATTCTTAGCAGGCAATACCTCAAATTAAAATCTACTTTTAATATTTTTATTGAAGATAACTCCCGCACTTTGAATAAATTCTGTGTCGCGGGGACACAAACATAAATAAAACGGACGAAAGAACACTCAGACTCAGAACGACAGTTTTTCTATTGTTGTTGTTTCATCTGGGGATCGAACCCACAACACTCAGCGCAGTAGGAAGCAGGTCGTGGCGAGCGCTTACACCACTACGCCATCGGTGCAGTCCGAATTATTAGTTCAGATTACTATTGAACCATGTGTATAAATATATTATTTACTCTTCAAAATGGTCATCACACTATCTTAAAGTTATTTTTCAGCGATTTGGTTGCAAAATATTGTTAAATAAAAAATTAATTAAATATAACACACATATATGTATCCTAAAACACACAACGGACTTTGGCGCGGTTTGAGAGTAATTAGCATTAACACATAATTAACGCTTAAAGCGTATTGTTAGATATACTTATTTAGGAAGAAAAATATATGTATATACATACTACGTAAGGACATGGTTTGTTAAAATCACCAATATACCTTATTAACTAATTATTAGTAAGCATATAAAAGTATTAAGCTTTATATATTAAGTGGGTGAGTTCTGAAGATTTTCCTTAGTTAACAGAATAGTCAAGGATAGCAAAGGAAATCGTAGGTTTCGATTTGCACATAGGACAAATTATTGTTTGATGAGTACGATAATTTGTTCTGTGTATGTTCTATCTATAATATATATGTATTTAGTAATATATAAGTATGTTTATCAGCTGTCTGATTGCCATACCAACAAAGGCTCTGTTAAGTTTGGAATCAGACAGCCGTGTGTGTATTATTTTATACTTGACTTTCGAGTTAACAAGAGAGAGGAAAATCAAAGAAATCAATTTGTACTTTTAAACATTATTAATATCTATCAAGACCTCGATTTACAAATACTTAGTGTAATGATTTATTTTACCACTGTAAATATAATAAATCTGTGTATTTAGTAGGTTAAGACATTGCAAAGTTAAGCAACCCTAGCCAGGTCATTCTATGGATGGGTGAACATTGAGATCCCCAAGTGCTTCGGAGAGCACGTTATATCGTCGGTCTAGGTTCCCATACGAACATCTGTCGTAATCGTTACGGGTAATTGAAACCTAAAAAGTTCGACAAAAGTCTTTCTACAGAACTTCGATATCGCCTAGTACTTGGGTTGTGGGGGCTAATGGCAGTCGCTCCGCATAAAGAAAACGAAGTTCAGCCGTATTATAGTAGACTAGACTTCCGAGCTTTTGGGAAAAAGGCTCGGAAGAAGAAGTGTACTAAAGTTGACGTCTATAATATATATAAAATATATCGATGTATTAAGGTTCATGTACTATTTAAATGACTCGTTTTCAGATCCTGTAGTAGTGAAAAAAAATATAGTATTTTATTAAAACATTACGTTCAAACACAGTTAGTAACGAACAATGGCGTATTTTAATATTAGGGTTCCCCGGTTAAAAGATATCTTAAAGAAAAGACGCTTTCCAAAAGGACGGATCAACAACGTACCTCCTTTCTCTGACCACGTTACCTCTTGAACCTGGGATAGCTACGCCACTTGTAGTTTTCTCTCTGCTTTATTCACTATATCATTAAACACTGTTTAAGAATATGTAATGTTATTATTTATTGTATGTTCTTAATATAAATGTTAATCAATTTGTGTACTAAAACTTACGCCTATAAAATATATCGATGTATTTCATGTGTACTATTAAATCGACTCGTTTTCAGATGCTGTAGTAGTAATTAAGAAAAAAAAACATCGTATTTTATTATAACGTGACATTCGAATATCGAAACTAGTAATTACAGTGGCGTATTTGAATCTTTTGCTCCTGGGCACAAGATATCGGCTAGAGGAGGGGGCAGATACGACCGATCCCTCTTCTCTGGCACGGTACCTCTTAATCCTGGGATAAATGTGCCACTGTGTGTACTATGCACACATTTTTAAAGATATAATCTAAATGTGTAGTGTGTATTATTAACTGTTATAATAGATGTTTACTAAAATTAACGTCTATACTATGTATTGATGTATTTAAATTCATGTGTACGGTTCTAACAACTCGTTTTCAGATTCTGTACTAGTAATCAAGAAAAAAATCATCTTGAATTAATTTTATTACATCACAAGAAAGTAATAATGTACAGTGGCGTATTTTTGGCTCCCCGGGCACGAGATAACTATAAGGCTCTTAGAAAAGGCTAGAGGAGGGGGGGAAGGATAATTCCCCCCCTCCACTTCCCCTGCCACCTCTCGAACCTGGGATAAATACGCCACTTGTGATTTAAATACTTTCTCTTTGCTTTTTTTACATAATTTATTAAATAAACAATTATATTTATTAGTAGTTTGCACATGTAATCATCTTTGTGTAGTAAATTAAATGTAATCCAACTGTTTTTGTTTTATTAAGACCTCCTTAAAACTAAGTAATAAATGAATTTTCTACGAACATGGGTGGCAAAAAGAAACTGGCAACATTACTCCTATAGTTTAGATTGCATTAGGTAGAGGGGGCGAACAAGCAGACGCGTCAATCAATGGTAAGCGACTACCAGCACCCATGGACACATTTGGACACATTAACTTAGAAGTGGCAAGCGCGTTGTCGACCTTCGAGTTGAGAGTACGGTATTTTCATGAGGGTTTGGAGATCGTAACTGTCCGGAAATACATGATACACTTTATTCCACAGTTTGGTTTTGCGAGGCATTTAGTTTCCTGAAAAGCACACGGTGCAGTGGAAATTATCACATATATTAATTAATTAATGACGAAAAGCTGCGGCTGGAATTAAAGCCTTGTTTTTAAATATTTTTAGTAACATTTTTAAACATCATAGTTGTTTTAGTCATAACATGTTCACTACTTAACATAGGTCTCCCTTAATTATTGTTAAGAAGTCAGGCATCCAATAATGATATGATAATGATGGCCTTAATATGATAATCTATCTACAAATCCTAAAAAAAAACAAAAAAACCAGGTAACAACATATTTGCAACAATTTTATAAAGAAAATTGTATATTTCATATTTTAAAGAAAAAAAAAGCATAAAAAAGGAAACAATTGGTTTGCATTTAAAAATTACATTCATAAATTTAAGAATACCGTGTCACCTGTGTCCCCTTTCTACCTATACCTTAAAATACCAGAGAGTACAAATAATATATTAAGAATTTGTACTTGTTGCGCTCATAACAACCAATGACCATAGATAAAGGAGTTTTGAGCACAGTGTTTTTAGGCGCCGTAGTAGCAGAAGCCCCAAATGTATGTTTTCATGTTGTAGTAAAAAAAACTTATTTTGAAAACTTTTTGTTTCATTTATTAGAAGATACGGTTTATTACTGTTTTATGATTAGATATCCAATTAACATATATATTTTGACTAATATAATATTATAGGTTTTTAAAATGAAATGTAATTTGGTTCGTGATGGACGTTGTATTTCCGGTGAATGTTTTTGGGGGAAAATAATTAACATTATGGCAACACAGCTCTGTCCTGAGACGTGAGACGTAAACTGGAGTCAGGCAGTTGCGCTGAATGCGCGATAGTAATCTATCGTTGCGTTCGGCCCCGCTGTTTTTTTGTTTGGTAAGTTGAAAATTTTTGTTTTTTTCATTATTTACCTGTTGGATTCTCATTGTATTGCATTGTGGTGTGTAATTTAATATTCTAGGTTTTAACATCTATATGTAAAACACATTTTTCAATGAGCTTTTCTTTTTTTACAGGCTGAAAGACCATCATCTACGATGCCTTGTCGGTCTGGAGCGGCTCGCAGAAGGAGAAAGAAGTTAATGAAGTTAAGGTCTTATAAAAGAATGCTTGAAGCTTACACTGCCTCAACCTCTTCAGGTGAACCTCTCGATATCAGTAATTTGCAAGAAGATTCTGAGGGGCACGACTCTGAAGCTGAGCGCGAAAGGGCCTACGCTTTTCTGGAGCGAGTGAGTCAAGGCGTTGCTGACGGAAAATACGACTTCGAATTATTTTTTTGCGGTGTCCTGAGCAAGATGGTGCTTTTTGTGTTGAAGCAAGGCGCTAGCGTAAACTGGGATCTGATTTCAACTCTTCTTATTCGTAATGCATCCAAGCGCAATCTCTACCCCTTCCCGGCGCCGAAAGATCCCGTCGTTCAGAGGCTGGAAAGATCTATTGTTCTAATGTTTTATACGATTCTGTCTAATCCTAAACGTAGGCACATCTATCATTGGTATTTAAACTAAGTAGCTTGCGACTAACTTTGTAAACGAAGATTTTAAAAAAAGATCCTTCTACTTAAATATATTTTTGTCTTTATTATAATATATTTTTGTCCCTGTTGTCATAAATGTAGTTTATTTTAAAAATTGAATACAATTATTTGGTGTGAAATCAAAATGTTTTATTTTCCCTAACACGGTTCGAAATTGGAATAGAAGAACATTATTCTATTCAGAACATAATTCTATTCCAATCTTCGAATTACGTGATAAATAATACATAATTATGTAATACACAGAAACACGCACACACATACATGTATACTATATACTTACATACGTACATGTACTAATTGTAGTCATGTATGTGTATAATTGTGATAGTATATATGTATAATAGTAGACAGATTGAGAGAGATACACAAACACTCCTCTCGCTCTTATCACTTAAAGTTAAGTGTACACTGACACTACAGGATATAAGTCATTTTTTAAACAATATTTTACAGTGACAAACAAGTCCTGCTTCATAAATCAATTCGATTTTTAATTTGTTTTCTTTTTTATTTTGACCTTTTTAATTTTGTCTATTACAAAAAGAAAATGTGGTGTTTTGAGAACTTCATTCCTTTTTTACTTTTTATATAAGACCATAAAAAGTATTTTCAGTAAATTGGGATATTATGGTCTTCTTTTATTAATATAATTTCGTTATCGTGTTCATCTCAAAAAAGTATTGGAAACATTATATTGATTTATAATTATTCTAAAAGTGCAATGGTTGTGGTGTATAACTCAAAGTACTTCAATTTAATTTAAAATAAACCATCTGTATAAGCAATGCTTCTTCCTTCGAGAACATTTTGTTTTCCAGATAAAAGATATCTTACTTATTTTGGCGTATCTTTAGTATTATATATGCAAAATTTCATGACGATCCTTTGAACGTTAAGGTAACGCATAAATTACGATCAAACAAACATTCATTTTTACATAATAGACATCTAAAATATTCAATGGTAATGGACAGAGAGGCCAGTTTTATTTCCGACATGTTTTCTCGTTTATTTACTGTAATTCTTGTAATAAATATGACCGTAGCACAAGCTTCGCAAAAGTCAAGTTATACATAATAATGTAGGTACTAAACTGTAGAACCAAAATCAAACTTTTAAAAAGAAAAAAGGGATTTCGCTTTTATTTTTGGTATTTTTTCTAAATTTTCACTGTTTTGCTTATGGTAAGTAGATATCCTCAATACTTATTCTTTATTAGAACCTTAATATTCATTTAAATGTTGTGCTTATCATTTTTGTAACGAATTTATGTTTCGAACCAATGCATTTGTTGCATTTCTTCTACTCAATGCTGGAAATCGTCATCAAATTACAAATATATTCTCAATTCAGATGCTTCATGTTTAACTACATTTAAACATATATCAAACCTTTTTAATGTGTTGATTCTTGTCGGCAATATTTTGCACCGAGCGAGCTTCGAACTCACTCGAAGCTTCGAACTCCATTCCACTTGATCAAAACTTTACATTTTACCAGTTGCATGCTCTACTTATAACTTAATTTTATAGGTTTTTTAATTATTGAAATATTATATTTATATGTTTTATTGTGTATATATTTTTACCTTCTATATTTAAGTATATTTATTTTACCTAAATATTATATATTTATTGATTATTGTAAATACTGTGTAAGTAAGTTTAATATTTAACAAAAAAAAAAAGATTTTTAGTAAATTATTTTAGCGATTAAAAAGTTACAGTGTTGTACTTTTCATGTTTTAAAGTTTCAGTTTAAACAATGTGTATAATTAATAAGTACACAATACATTGTGTACAAATAAATAAGTGTACACCAAGCTTATTGAGCAGTACCTGCTCAGTGCATTTCTTGGGGCCGGTATTGATTGATCTATATTTGTGTGCAGTTGAGATGAAATGCATATGTGTTACCTGCATTTATAGGGCGCATGTCTGGGGTGCAGACAAATCAATAACCATTACAGTACCTACGCAGTTTGTCTTTTATGGCGCATAGTGCAAGCACTATTCCTAGGTATAACTGTATCGTGATCGGTGGTCGTACAGTCGCGTGTTCGAGAATCGTCTGTGCAGGTACGTTTATATTTATAAATAATTTGTGGATCATTTGAATAAATTAAAATGTTTGAATAGTGTAAGTAGAGGGGTTGGGTGTCAAGGCAGGAGCCAGTAGGACCCGGACCTGTTGTTGTTCCTTAAACTGCCCATCCATTAGTTTCCATTCATTTATTAATCAGATTAAGTAATATTCCTTTCTTCTTACCTGTATTTGTAATTCTTAAAGTTTTAAGTTGGTGATTGACTTGGGGGGGGGGGGGGGCGTTGGCTGTTTTTGTGAAGTGAGGACTAACGATAAGCTGAGCCTAGAAGGTGTCATGGCCGTTTTGAGTACGGGGTAGGTGCGGCGTCGATCCGGGGGGACCTGAAATTACATGGTCCGGGTCCTCCTTAGAGTAGGGCGCCGTAGCCGGGCCGTCTTTGTGGTTTTTAGTGGAAACACCACATACTCCTGGCTCCCCTAGGATCCGGAGATCCGAAGGGATTTACCACCCCGTTACCAAAAAAACAGGCCAATTACGTAATCGGGTAAGCGGTAGGCAGAGGCTTATGAAACACCTATATTTAGCATATAGGTGTTTCATAAGCCTCTGCCTACCGCTTCAGGGAACCGATGTGGGTGTAAAAACATAATGTGTTACAGTAAATATGTGTGTGTGTCTTATTTATTTGTGGCTTAATTAAATAATTTCTTGATAAATTAGTTTTGATTGTGATATAATAGTGACTACGATATTATTTTTTCAACTCAATTGGTGGTTTGGGACTACATTTATCTGGTGGGTTTGTGTTATGGGTGGTGATGGGTTATTTGCTCGGTGAGCCATTACAACCAATAGCCACATATACAAACCCATACCACCTTATTATATTTCTTTTATTTAACTATTTTTTTCTTTTTTAACCAAATTGTTGAATTGTTGCTACACGATGTTTATGGTGGTAAGCGGTAATCTGGGCTTGTACACTTGCAACATTTTTGATTGTTTGATTGAGAAAATGTTAGCCCATCACAGTTTGATTGAATAAGCTTCCTTGAATGCATATAAAAAAATCGGTTCGTTTGGTGACGGATTAAGAATACAGAGTGTCCCCACCTCTATTCATCCCAAGGGTGTTGTAAGAGCCGACGTAGGGAGTAAACTCTGCAGGGCAACAGCACTGCAAAGAGAAGGAAAACTTGAAACAAAACCCTATACCAACCCGTCTGGCCAGCGTTTTATAGTATGCCAAAACCTCCTTTCTAAGGAGAGGCCTATGTCCATCAAAGGCTGTTGATAAAAAAAAATATAGAAAATCAATACTATTCTTTTAAATGTTAAGTGATACCCTTGTGTGTATAATTTACTGCTGTCTGGTCTACTTTATCTTCTTTAACTCTTTAGGTACCTATTATGAAAGCTAAAAGCCAAGGTTTCTAATTTCAAAGAAAGATTAAAAACACCTTTCTTTATAATACCACATATAATTTAAATAAAGCGTCATCCCCTACAGCTCAAAACTTACTTTTATTACTAAACTTTGTATAAGCTTAAAATGATTCAGGTATACAATTTGTGCTAATGACAATATGATTAAAAACGACTTTCTAACTTTGTGTAATTTATAAAAAAATGATAGTGTTTTTTTAATGTACAGTAAAATTTTGTTATCATAATTATATACAAGTGAAATGCCTACGATATAAGAATTTAAACTACAAAAAGAAAAATTTAATCTATCATCTGACATGAAAATATATTTTGTTACATGAGCGCCATCTTGATTTTGCGACGTCCAACTATTCCAGCCCTCTGTCGGTCATAAAAGGAACTAAAGCTGCGCAATCGTAAAGCACTAGGTAAATGGAAACCTAGGCGTGGTATTGATTTGTCTGGTTATTATTTAATAATAGGTACTAGTTCGCCCACGTCTGATTGAAATTTATACCTAACTATTGTTATAATTATAACCCGTCATGGAAAAATACTGTTTGTATAACACTCTTACTGAGAAAACCATAGTTCGTCAAAAGCTACAAAACAAAGAAAGAGAAGACAAAATGAAACTGAAATTTGCTTATGTAAAAAGGCAATTAAGTTTATAAATATAGATAAAGCTAGTATCAATGATAAAGAAACTATTAATTTAAAAGCCTTTTGAACACAATTTTTCAATTTGTTTTACTTCTTAATCTTACATGAAATAAACATTGAAAGATATTTCTTGTTAATTTTTGTAGACGATTGTTTTTTTTGTAACAATTGTTACATAATTATGAATAGAATAGTCAAATTTGGACTGTTTCGAATATTTAGCTTTATTTCAATGATCAAAAATATAACCAAACTATCATTTTTAAAGACTTATATTATGACAGGTTAATAAAAGGGGCCTTAGGTTTCTGTAGCCGTTTTTACAAGCCGTTTTTATACGTATGTTAACCGATTACTCGATGAACCGATTTGTGATATATTTTTTTACACGCATTATATTAGCATCACTTGTATGTTTGTTTGTAACCGACTCCTTTGGGCGTGATTTTGACTGACTGTAAACGGTCAGAATTCGTTAAAACTTTGTAGATATATATAGACCGATGGCAATACACTAATTAAAAAAAGAAATTGGTCGCGTGGGGTGGTCTTTACTATTGACAATAGGCACCCAACGCTTTTTTTCAATTTTATTAAAATTTATTTTCAATTTTTTAGTTTGGTTTTCTATAAAAAGCGTGTTTTTTAGTTTTTTAAAACTATTTTTTTTTGTTTCAAAAAAATTAGTAGTGCGGTTTTTTAAAAATCAACACTAATCTGTAAAATTGTATACATTGATGACATTTTGTATTATAGCTTTGCACACCTTTTCTGCGTTAACATTAAGTATTTCTAATATGATACGCATATAGAGGATTCGATCCCGGTCG